CCCCCACACATGCATGTGTAATCCCCGTGCATGCGCGCGCAAGCCGCCCCCCATGCTCCCCCTGGTTTTGGCACGCAATGGCACGGTGGGCCCAGTAGGCCCGTTTTTCGCCCTCCCCAGGCTCCAGAGCCTTTCTAGGAGCCTGGTGAGAGTGAAAAACGGGCCTTCCACAACCCCTTGGAGGCCCTCCAATGGCTGGAAACAGCCAGTTTCCCGACTTCCGGTGGGCCCAAAAGGCCTGAAAATCAGCTTGCGCGCGCTGAAGCTGAACTATGGCAATACTCGTGTTCCCACCGATATGGCTCCGCATGCCACCAGTGGCACACGTGCCATAGGTTCGCCATCACGGACCTAGAAACTTCCGTAATGTGTGTCTACGGAGATTCTCAGTCATCCAGGTTCTGGTTGTCCCAAAGATGCTTTTTCAAGAGGCAACTGGACTTTCTGGTTTTTCTTTGAAGACGTTTCGCTTCTCCTCCAAGAAGCTTCTTCAGCTCTGCCTGGATGGTGGGGGAGTGGAAGGATAATTCTGTAACGTGTCCTTGTTGCAGAAATAATTCAACTACATTGCGTGAATCCTTCATTCGTGGAAATGAAATTGTTCACCAAGGCGTGTGCATGGAAAGGGGGCAAAGAGTCAGTAATAATTTTTACCCACAAATGCACACACAAGTAAAATTCTCTGGTGACGTTCAGTATCTTTTTTTATTACTATTATTCTCTGTTATGTTCACATTGTGTGGTGGTTTCCTTTTGCATCAGAACTCTTGTGATTCAGATTTCCTTGCCTGTCTTTTATCTTACCGTGATTCAAATCAATCAGATAAAATTTAGCTCTGCTTTTTAGAGAGCGCTGGGCACGTTTGTGTCGCTGTCAGATTTTGTGTAGGATAACACATGCAGTTGAAGAGATTTCTAAGAAACTCAAGAAGGCAGCTAGCTATCATGAGAAAGAGACTTTACCAACCGTCAACCAATCCATTTCCAAAGCTTTTACAATACATGTTAAATGAAAAGGAGATATTTATGAGTTGTACACTTTTGTAGTTGATGTGATAGAGTGCTGTAATATAGGTCGTTGTCAACTTACGACCACAACTGAATCCAAAATTTCTGTTGCTAAGGGAGAGAGACATTTGTTAAGTGATGTTTGCCCCATTTTACGACCTTTCTTGCCACAGTTCTTAAGTGAATCACTGCAGTTGTGAAGTTAGTAACCCGGCTGTTAAGTGAATCTGGCTTCCCCATTGACTTGGCTTGTCAGAAGGCGGCAAAAGGTGATCCCACAAGCCCAGGACATTGCAACCGTCATAAATATGAGTCAGTTGCCGAATGTCTGAATTTTGATCGCATGACCATGGGGATGCTGCAGTGGCCGTAAGGGTGAAAAGCGGTCATAAGTCACTTTTTTCCAGTGTCGCTGTAACTTCGAATGGTCACTAAATGAATGGTTGTAAGTCGAGGACTACCTATAATGCAGAGGTGGGATTCACTTCCCTACTGGTTCGCAAATGTGAGTACGTGTATGCACAGTGCTCGCGTATTACGTCCGGGCAGGTGGGTGGAGCCTCCTGCAGTTACCACTACCGATTCGCCAGAACTGGACATAACCAGATGAATCCCTCCTCTGCTGTAATGCACATGTATTTCGTTTGGAAAGCCTTACAGAAAATGTCAGCTGATCAATGGCCACGGCTGCTGCCACACCAGGGGTGAAATCCAGCAGGTTCTGACAGGTTCTGGAGAACCAGTAGCAGAAATTTTGAGCAGTTCGGAGAACCGGCAAATACCATCTCTGGCTGACCCCAGAGTGGGATGGGAATGGAGATTTTGCAGTATCCTTCCCCTGGAGTGGGGTGGGAATGGAGATTTTGTAGTATCCTTCCCCTGGAGTGGGGTAGGAATGGAGATTTTGCAGTATCCTTCCCCTGCCACGCCTACAAAGCCATGCCCACAGAACCAGTAGTAAAAACATTTGGATTTCACCACTGTGCCACACGCTAACCAAAAGGTGATTTTTCCCCCCGCACCAGCCTAAATGTTCCTGTTGCATTTTCGTAGGTCGTACATAATTAAAAATCATTTTCATGTCCTTTCACAAGAAATCAGATAAATGGCTAGTCTTCATTTCTCCACGTATGCCTTCCCCCCCCATCTTCTTCTCTCTACCTTTGCCTGACAGTTTGCAAGATTGAATTCAGAAGCTTTATCAAGGAGATGCAAACGTGATCGTTTCATTTTTATTTTGCATTACAGAAGGAAGGGGGTCAGTGCGGAGAACGAAGGAAGATTGATTTTAAATAAATGTTGCATTGCTTGAAGATTTTCCAAGTAGGATGTCGAAGTCAGGGAAACGCAGGAAACATGCCTTAATAATGCCAGAATAAATTATATCACTTTTGCTTTCTAGTCCTGGTTCTGGTCTTTTTTTTTTTCTTTTCTTGTTTCTCTGATTAATACAAAATCTGGGTTGGCTCATTTCTCCAATCAGATGTGCTTTAAAGTCTGACTAGAATCAGGGAATGAATAATAATGGTTTGCAACTGGCATGAGACGTTTCATAAACACTCCAATCAACCTTTATGGGGGAAAGTGAGAAAGTTGATTGTACAGTAAATGGTCATAGCTTTTGAATGAAAATGAAATATTCAGTAGCTAGTCCTCAACTTACAACAATTCATTTAGCAGCTGCTCAAAGTCACAATGGCGCTTTAGAATAGAGTTGTCAAGTTTCCGAAAGATGCCCTAATTAATTCATGAGCCATGATCCAAACTTCAAAGGAAATACAGTCATTTATTAGGAGCGACATTCCGGCAATACTTGGATGCAGTTAGGACTGATCCCACATAGATTTACGTTCCCCTATGACCCTCTCTCTCCCCTTCTCTCTGGCCATGTCATAAATCACATTCTCCAGTTAACCACTTTGGCTGGCTGTGAAACCTAATGCCCTCCTGATTGCGGTCAGGAAAAATGTATGGAATTCACTTCAGTTCTCCCTCCTTCTTGCTCATGGCAACTTGAAAGCTTTGCAAGTTGACAAGAGTAGAATAACAGAGTTGGAAGTAACCTTGAAGGTCTTCTAGTCCAACTCCCTGCTCAGGCAAGAAACTCTATACCAGTGATGGCTAACCTTTTTGCCATCGCGTGCCAGGAGTGGGGGGAGGAGGGGGTTTCGTGCACATGCGTGCCCAAACCCATAATTCTATGCACATGCACATGTGACCCCCCCTGCTTCCCGTGCTTTTGGCATGAGATGGCCCGGTAGGCCTGTTTTCTCTCTCCCCAGGCTCCAGAGCCTTTCCAGGAGTCTGGGAAGGGCAAAAACAGCTTTCCCCACCCCACCCCTGGAGGCCCTGCAGAGGCCGGAAACGGCCTGTTTGCCAACTTCCAGTGGGCCCAGAAGGCTGGCGGAGCTGAGCTCACGTGCCCACCAATATGGCTACATGTGCCACCTGTGGCACGCATGCCATAGGTTGGCCATCACGGCCCTACACCACTTCAGACAAATGGTTGTCCAATCTCTTCTTTAAAATTTCCAGTGTTGGAGAAGTCACAACTTCTGGAGGCAAGTTGTTCCACTGGTTAATTGTTTTAACTGTCAGGAAATTTCTCCTTAGTTCTAGGTTGCTTCTCTCCTTGATTAGTTGCCATCTTTTGCTTCTTGTCCTGCCCTCAGGTGCTTTGGAGAATAGGTTGACTCCCTCTTATTTGTGGCAACCCCTGAGATATTGAAACACTGCTATCATGTCTCCCCTGGTCCTTCTTTTCATTAAACTAGACGTAGCCAATTCCTGCAACCGTTCTTTATATGTTTAAGCCTCCAGTCCCCTAATCATCTTTGTTGCTCTTCTCTGCACTCTTTTTCTTCCCACATTTGTTATATGAATCACTGCAGTTGTTGTTAAGCAAATCTCGCTTCCCCATTGAATTTGCTTGTCAGAAGGTCACAAAAGGGGATCACATGACCCTGGGACACTGCAGCTGTCATAAATATGAGTCAGTTGCCAAGCCTCTCACATTTGATTATGAGCCTACCGTGTTTTTCCCCAAAAATAAGACCCTGTCTTTTTTTTTTTTTTTGAACCCTCAAATAAGTGCTTGGCCTTATTGCCCTGCGCTCAAAAGCCCGATTGGGCTTATTATCAGGGGATGTCTTATTTTGTGGGAAACAGTGTGTTGGGATGCTACAATGGTCATAAGTTTGAAAAATGGTCATAAGTCACTTTTTTCAGTGCTGTTTGTAAGTTCGAATAGTTACTAAATGAATGGTTGTGAGCCAAGGATTATTAATAAAAATGCTATATGTTTTCTTACATGAAGTTTATGTTTTGTTTGTTTATGTTTTATTTGATTTGTATACCGCCCTACTCCCGAAGGACTCAGGGCGGTGAACAGCCACAAGATAAAAACACATAAGTACAAAACTTAAAACAGGATAAAACCAAATTAAATAATTTGGCTGAAGACAGATTTAAAACACCCCAATAAATTAAAACCAATTTAAAATTTGTATTTTAAAAGGGAAAAAAAGGGAAAAATTAGGCCAGGCTGGCCTGGTGAAATAAAAAGGTCTTTAGAGCGCGGCGGAAGAAGTGTAGATCCGGGATCCTCCCTATCTCCGGGGGGAGCTCATTCCAGATAGTAGGTGCCCCCACAGAGAAGGCTCTCCCCCTAGAGGCCGCCAGTCGACATTGTTTGGCCGACGGCACCCGGAGGAGCCCCTCTCTATGAGAGCGTACCGGCCGGTGGGAGGCTACTGGTGGCAGCAGGCGGTCTCGTAGGTAACCAGGTCCTAAGCCATGGAGCGCTCTAAAGTTTAGTTCTTAATCATATTTTATTGGTTCTTCTTGGCAGAACATGAGTCTACAGCTATTATAGGAGAGGAATACAAGGCTATTCTTTAAAAGGAGAATGCTAGGTTTTTTTTGTTTTTTTGGCATTCAGTTCTATTCTCAAGATTCTTTCTAACTGTCGGTTGTATTTTCATATGCTCAAGGCACTTATATTGGCTGCTTTGGCGACGACTCAAGAAAAAGGACGTTGAAAGGAGCCGTGTTCTATGACTTGAGAAAAATGACAATTTCCCATTGCCAAGAAGCCTGTGCTGAGAGGTAAAAAAAATAAGAAAAAAAAGTATTTTATTTCTTCTGCATGCTGTTGCTCCTAAAGTCTCCATAACAGGAATGGCCAAATCAGTCTTAACATGAATTGGTCCTTATTTTATGTATATTGACTCAGCATGAAATGGTATGTGCGTGTTGTGGCCCGCCAGCTGCCAGCGGAGCTGACGACAGACTCAGATGATGAGGAGGTTGGGGTGGAACTTGGGTCAGTGCTGGACTCTGGGGAAGGCTCTGATGGATGCTCTGCGTCGGATGCAGAGATAGAGCCAGGGCCGTCCAACATTTCCCAGCCACTGGAGAGGCAGCTGCCTTTGGAGGCTGAGATTGAAAGTACATCTCTCTCCCCTCACCTTCACAGTCCAACAAACTAGGGAGTCCCTTTTGAGACATTTGCCATGCTCCCATTCCTTCTGTGGGCTCAGCTGCCTCTTATCTGATGGTACCCCTGGCTGTGGCTTCTTTTGTCTCCCAAGGTCATTCTCACTGTTCTGACCCAGCCTTTGCAGAAGCAAGGAAAAGACTCCTTGTCACAAAAAAACCCCTCTTTATTTACCTCTTGTGAATTAATGGCATTCACCCACCGAAAAGTCCGGGCAAGAGTCCTTCAAGGAGTTAACTGCAGTACAGACCTTATCAGTTCCTTGCGATAATTTCAAGGCCGTGAGCTCCCAGCCGAAAGGCTGCAAATTAAATTCTGGCAAGCAGTCTTTGTGGCATGAAACACAATGAGCAAAATCTTCAGAAATACGAACTGTTGTCTCCTATGACAACCTTTCCTTCTATTTATTCCCCAGCCAGGGAGGGGCCATTCAGCGTCCATGTGTGCTTTGCTTCCCAAGTTGACTCCTTGTCCTCCATTGCTCACGTCTCCTAACTGCTCTGCAGATACGTGCATCTGGAACAGACTCCAGCTGTTCTTCCTCCTCACTCTTCTTGCAAAAATTCTATTAATGTAGCCTTACAATAAAGATAGTATTTATAGATGTGCTTATTGTTTAAACTACCTCACAAGGCTGATATCCAAATTTGAAAGCACATCTTTCCCCCCTCACCTTTACAACTGAAGAAACTAGAGAGGGTTCCCTTCTGAGACATTTGCCACACCTCAACTCCTTCTGTGGGCTCAGCAGCTGCTTGTTTGATTTGTCTGCAGATCTTGCTTCTGTCTGCCAAGATTATCCCCAAATATACTATATGTCAGGGTTCCAAGTAATATACCCATAGCAAGCAAAACTCCAAGGCAGGTAGATTCCTCAAAGAATAGTTTTATTGGGTATATCTTATTGGCACAGTTCTGGTGAAAACCAGCTCTGAAGGTTCCTGCAGTTTTCACCTAATTAAAAGTAAAAGTTTTTTCCCCTTCCCCAAACAGTCAGTCACATGGTCCAATCAAGGTACTCTTCAGTTGCCTGGTAACATCACTACTCCTCCTGTCTCTCTCTCTCTCTCTCTCCCTCTCCCTCTCCCTCTCCCTCTCTCTCCCCCCCCCCCCCCACACACACACGCACACACACACACACACACACACACACCAGGTGTGAGAATGTCCTTGGTTCCCAGGAGAAAGTATTTTGTTTTGGCTACAAAACTCCAACTATCTCTATTCCTCCCTCCCTATCAGTGTGATAACACCGAAGCTCCAACATGGCTTCGGTCAGGTCAGCTTCAATCTGTTCTGACCTTTGCTTTCTTAGAAAGTAAACAGCACAAACGTAGTCCCAGCAAACCTCTTTAATTCAAACAGGTGTGAATTATTGTCATTCCCAGTCTGAAAGGCTTCTCAAACAGTCTATTAGGGGAGTGTTTAAAAACACTCACCTTATCTCCCTTGGAATGCTGCCAGAGAACTAATTGTCAAATGCAGGGCAAGGCCAAACTTAGCACAGAGTCAAACAGAGCTTTTCCAGAGCTTTTACCGACCAGATGAACTAACTGCTTCCTGCAAAAGCTCACGTCCCGTTCGCTTCTCTTGTATGTCTTATGGGAGGGGCCAATCATCTCCAAGCCTTACTCCCAAGTCGACCCTCTTTCCTTAATTGTTCCTGTCTCCTGGCAGTCTGCGCATGTGCACACTGGGAACAGGCTCATGCTGTTCTTCTGCCTCGCTGATGTCAGACTCCGGAGGTGGCAAAGAACTACCAGATGGCCTTGGCCCCCTCTCTGCCTCTGACTCAGAGCCATCGTCCGAGCCTTCCCCAGGCTCCAGGACTGGCCCACGTTCCTTCCCAACCTCCTCACTGTCCGAATCTGCTGCCAGTTCTGCTGGCCGCTGGCGGGCCACAACAACTATATACTATACCTCTATTATACTATAAATACTATATAGACTGGATAACTATTTGACCAGGATGATATAAGGTCTCCTTGAGGAGAAGGTTGGACAAAGACCTCTTCCAGCCTTAGGATTCTATGTTCTGTATTCTATTACACAGCAGCATTGAGTCAACAGCATCAAAATGTGTGACTGAGCCATCAAAGCCCTTCCCAATGTCTTTTTGCAAGTTTGGTCACTGTCTGACAAACAATGCTGGACTAGATGGTCCTTGGGCTGATCCAGCAAAGTCAGAATAATAGAATAACAGAGTTGGAAGAGATTTGGGAAGTCTTCTAGTCCAACCCCTTGCTCAAACAGGAGACACTATCCCATTTCATACAAGTGGCTTTCCTGTCTCTTCTTAAAACCTCCAGTGATGGAGCACCCACAACTTCTGACGGCAAGCTCTTCCACTGGTTAATTGTTCTCCCTGTTAGGAAGTTTCTCCTTAATTCTAGGTTGCTTCTCTCCCTGATTAGTTTCCTTCCATTGTTTCTTGTCTTGCCTTCTGGTTCTCTGGAAAATAGGTTGACCCCCTCCTCTTTGTGGTAGCCCCTCAAATATTGGAGCACTGCTATCAGTCCTTCTTTTCCCTAGACTAGACATACCCAACTCCTGCAACCATTCACATGTTTTAGTATCCACGCCCTTAATCATCTTTGTTCTTCTCTGCACTCTTTCCAGAGTCTCAACATCTTTTTTATAATGTGGTGACCAAAACTGGATGCAGTCTTCCAAGTGTGGCCTTTCTAGGGCTTTACAAAGAGTCCTTGGAAGTCTCTACCTTTCCTTCTTCAACTTCTCTCCTTTCCGTTTCCCCTTGATTTCCTTCACCACCATTTCCCAGGACCCCCCTCCCCCCACTCTCCTTTTGAACATCGCTCCATATTTGTCTTTGGTGTAGGTTGCAATGATGATATAAGAAGAGTTTTCTTTTTGGTTTTGCCCAGGGCTTATAAATACGCCGGCTTGGAATATGGAGCAGAATGCTATTGTGGAAACCAACTGCCAGTGAATATTGCAAAGCAGGAAGAGTGCAACAATGAGTGCAAAGGGGAGAAAGGGACCATCTGTGGAGGCATCAACAGGCTCTCTGTTTACCAGGTGGAGGAATCAGGGGCAGGGCCTAAACGACGTAAGTGATGTAAGCTTCTTAAGTGAGTATTTATTCCCGATAGGGATGGGCAACAGAATGCATGTATTGTTTTCTATTTGACTGTTTGTCTGGTGTTAATAGATAAGCAGGGATAAACAGTAAGTAAGTACCGTAGATAAGCAGGGATTAATACCAGACAAACAACCAAGCAGAAGGTTTTATGTATGCCCCCCTCCCCCCAAAAAACCCCCACTAAATCTCTACTATGGGTATAGGAGATGGGTTCAGGAGATGGAACTGGGAAATTGATGGGATTACATTTTGAACTCTATAATCACCTCATCAGTACAATTCGAGGTTGTCTCTGCTGATGTTCACATCAACTCATGGTGTGATATGGAAGGACCCTACAGACATATAGATTAGGACTTTCCACAACTGATTCTGTTGAGGGATTCTTAGCTCCTGCCCTAGTTGTAGTCTATCATTAAGGGACCAAATGGAAGATTCTAAATTTTAAAAAATGCCTGTAATGAGTAAGAGTTAATTTTGCAATGAAAAAACCCTTTGTTCATCCTTTTTGGTTTTAAAGGAAAAACAACATTTCCTTTTTCATCCTTTTCTAGTTATCCTGTTACGAGTGGGAAATAACATATCTTAAATCTCTGATTCATTCTTATTTTGCTCCAATATATAGCTCCCTATGAATGCCATTTGTGGAGAAGAAATGCTAACCTTGTTCCCTCTGCTAATAAAAAGGACTTTTAACCTGCAGAGTTTAACCTGCTTCTTGGCGCATTCTCCAAATTTGCATCTGTGCTAACACTTCTTCAAGTACAAATGCAGCCTAGGGTTTATTGATTGATTTAATTATTTGTTCCCAGAATTGGGAATGTTCGAAGGAGTACAGTCCATTCATTTAGTGAACATTTGAAGTTGCAACAGCACTGAAAAATGTGACTTCTAACCATTTTTCACATTTACGATAATTTCAGCATCCCCATAGTCACGTGATCAAAATTCAGATGCTCGGCAACTGACTCCTATTTACGACAGTTGCAGTATCCTGGGATCACGTGATCATCTTTTTCAACCTTCTCACAAGCAAAGTCAATGGGGAAGCCAGATTCACTTAACAACCGTGTTACTAACTTAACAGCTGTTGTGATTCACTTAACGCCTGTGGCAAAAAGGTCGTAAAACGGGGCAAAATTCACTTAACATCAGTCTCGCTTAACAATATGCATTTTTGGCTCAATTGTGGTCGTAAATTGAGGACTAATTCCTAAAACTTTCAAAAATTCTGATTGATACCAATTGGGCTCTGAGAAATGCCTAAATAAAAAAAAGCATTATTATTGATTAAAATAGCCAGACCATTTAATTGATTAATTGGGAGGAAGATGAAGTGATTGGCATTTACTATCTTATTCTTATGGACTTAGAAATAAAGTATGCAATGGAACTTAATCAAAAAAAATTCTGGCTGAAGAATTGCAGCCTCTGCATTTTTCTTAAAGTATGCCCCAATTGATTAATTAATTTTTTTTTTTGGTAAACTGTTCTTAATCGTGGTACTTACAGATTCGGCAAAGGTACTTTCGCATTCTGGCTGACTCTTCTGTCCTGATGTGGCAGAGAACGCATTTTTTGTCATCTTTCATATGCAGATTTAATCAAGATTAATTGATTCATCACATAAAATCAGCTGCTTAAGAATTTTCTAATAAGGGAGTTGCAGTCTCCTGAAGCCCGCCTGCTCTTTAATGAAACATTTCATTTAAAAGCCTAATGATCAACAAGAATTCGATGTCTTTGTAGGCTTCCTTTTGTTTTCTGTTGAAAATGCAGAAGCTGGGGTTCTTAGAGGTTCCCCTGTTAAAGGACAAAAGTCAAAATGAAATGCATTTTGTATTTCAACCGAAATCCCCGATTTAAAACTATTCCTTTAGTGGCTGTTCAAAGTTACAACAGCACTGAAAATATGACTTATGACCGGTTATGACCGTTGCAGATCCCTGTGGTCACGTGACAGTGGTGAAATCCACATTTTTTTACTATAGGCTCTGTGGGTGTGGCTTGGTGGGTGTGGCAGGGGAAGGATACTGCAAAATCTCCATTCCCACCCCACTCCTGGGGGAAGGATATTGCAAAAGCTCCATTCCCACCCCACTCTGGGGCCAGCCAGAGGTGGTATTTGCCGGTTCTCTGAACTGCTCAAAATTTCCGCTACTGGTTCTCCAGAACCTGCTGGATTTCACCTCTGTGTGTGTTTGGGTACATTCCTTGTGGTGATGGGAAGTTTTCCTGGTTTTTATTATTTAAGACTAAACTTCTGGTCTTTCTTTGCAGGGCAAAATATTATCTATCGAGGATGTTTTAAAGTACCTGAAAATTTAACAAACATCTTGCCAGCCTCATTGATACATTCCAATTTGACAGTGGAGATGTGCTCTGAATTTTGCTCCAAAAAGGTAAGAATTCCTTTTCCTTATCCATCTTTCCTTTCCTTTCCTTTCCTTTCCTTTCCTTTCCTTTCCTTTCCTTTCCTTCCCTTCCCTTCCCTTCCCTTCCCTTCCCTTTCCTTCCTTCTTCCCTTCCTTCTTCCCTTCCTTCCTTTCCTTCCTTCTTTTCCTTCCTTCCTGCCTTCCTTCTTTTCCTTCCTTCCTTCCTTTTCCTTCCTTCCTTCCTCCCTCCCCCCTCCTTCCCTCCCTCCCTCCCTCCCTCCCTTCCTAGTTTAATATATTATTACGGTTGGTCACACAGTTGAATGTTGTTTAATAAGATATTGCCACAGGATGTAAGCTGTTCCAAGTACAGGTAATCCTTGATTTAACAACAGTTCATTTAATGACCATTCAAACTTAGTACATTATTGAAAAAAAGTGTCTTATGACTGTTTTTCACACTTAGGACCATTGCAGCATCCCCATGGTCATATTATCAAAATTCAGATACTTGGCAACTGAACTCATATTTTTGACGGTCACAGTGTCCCAGGGTCGCGTAATCCCCCTTTTGCGACCTTCTGACAAAGGAAAATCCATGGGGAAACCAGATTCACTTAACAACCATGCTACTCACTTACCAACTGCAGTGATTCACTTAACAACGTTGGCAAGAAAAGTCGTAAAATGGGGCAAAAACACTTAACAAACGTTTCACTTAGCAATAGAAATGCGGGGCTCAATTGTGATCGTAAATTAAGGACTTTCTGTAAAAGCTGCCTTTTGCAATTGATCAATGGTGATTTTGTCAATGCCAGATGTGCTATTCCAGATGTTTTCGAACCAGATGTTTTGGAACTGCAACCAAGGCCGCTATTATTACTACTGGCACTATCTTTGCTTTCTATTGTCACTATTGTTCTACCTCTGTTTGCAAGTCTGTATATTGTGTGATTTTTCTCCAGTTCTTTGCATTCTATTCCATTCCACTGAGTCCAGGAAGTGCAGCATCCACTAGCCAGACATTTTTTTGTCTTTCTTATCAACAATTGTTAAGTCTGGGGTGTTATGTGGCAGGTGCTTGTCTGCTTGAAGTCTAAAATCCCAGAGCACTTTAGCTTCTTCATTTCATATTACTTCGTCTATTTGTGATCCCGTCAGTTCTTGCTTTCTGGCAAGTAGCATTTCCTGGAGATCTCCTGTGCATCATTGTTGCTACCTTGTGGTGCCATTGTTTGTAGTCACCCTGTGTGATCTTCTTGCACCAGCTAACCAGATGGTCCACTGCTTCCTCAGCTCCTTTACAGAGATGGCATTTCCTGTCTGTTGTGCTCTTCTCAATTCTGGCTTTGTATGCATTTTTAAAAATTTATTTTATTTTATTATTTTATTATTTTTATTATTATTATTATTTTATTATTTTTATTATTTTATTATTTTATTATTTTATTATTATTTTTTTATTTTTTTATTTTGTCAAGCATGTGTAAGATAACAGATAAAAGTATAAACATGATTTTGAATACATGAAAAGGATACGAGTAAAAAAGGACAGTAAGACAGGGACGGTAGGCACGCTGGTGCGCTTATGCACGCCCCTTACAGATCTCTTAGGAATGAGGTGAGGTCAACAGTAGACAGTTTAAGGTTAAAGTTTTGGGGGTTGGAGGAAGAAACCACAGAGTCGGGTAGTGCATTCCAGGCATTGACCACTCTGTTGCTGAAGTCGTATTTTCTGCAATCGAGTTTGGAACGATTTACCTTGAGTTTGTATCTATTGTGTGCTCGTGTATTGTTGTGGTTGAAGCTGAAGTAGTCATCGACAGGTAGGACATTGTAGCAGATAATTTTATGTACTATGCTTAGGTCAGACAGAAGTCGGCATAGTTCTAAGTTGTCCAAGCCCAAAATTTCAAGTCTGGTGGCATAAGGTATTCTGTTGCGAGCAGAGGAGTGGAGGACTCTTCTTGTCCTTAAAACTTGGTTTTGCACAGCCAGAATTAGCTCCTCTGTTTCTTTCTTCAACTTTCCTGCTCTTACCCATCACCCGGCCTTTTTGTTACCTGCTTTGCCTGATAGGGTTTTTTTAAATGTACTGGCCATATAATACTTTGCCTTGCAATTATTATTACATAATATGAAATCACAGCTAGAAGTCATTTAGTTCATGTTGGCCTTCAAACACATCGAGTAGCAATAGAAATAGCACTTAGACTTATATACTGCTTTACAACCCTCTCATAAAATGCTCTTCCATACCATATCACAATAACAACAATAGCACTTATATACTGCTTTGTAGTGCCTTATAGCCCCCTCTAAGCGGTTTACAGAGTCAGCCTATTGCCCCCAACAATCTGGGTCCTCATTTTACCGACCTCGGAAGGATGGAAGGCGGAGTCAACCTTGAGCCGGTGAGACTTGAACTGCCAAACTGCTGGCAGAATTAGCCTGCAATACTGCACTCTAACCATTGTGTCACCATGGCTCATGTAATTCCCAAGAACCTAGGATTCCATTACATAACAGTTGTGTGTGTATAATGTATATAATAAAGATGGGATAATAAAGTGTATACAATATACACACATGCACTGTATATCCCACCTGTATTATTTTTACAAATAACTCAAGGTGGCAAACTTATCCAACACTCCTTCCTCCTCCTATTTTTCCCGCAACAACAACCCTGTGAGATGGATTGGGGTGAGAGAAAGGACACCCAACTGGCTTTCCATGGCCAAGCCCTTTAGATATTGGAAGACTGCTATTGTATCACCCCAGTCCTTCTTTTCATTAAATTAGACATACCCAATTTGAACTAGTTACTAAGTCTGCATTACTATTAATCTTCTCATCGTTCCTATCACCCATCTCCCCCCACTTATGACTGTATGACTGTAACCTTGTTGCTGGTATCCTTACGATTTATATTGACTGTTTCCTAATATGATTTGATTGCTTATTTGTATCCTATGACTATCATTAAGTGTTGTACCTTATGATTCTTGATGAACGTATCTTTTCTTTTATGTACACCAAGAGCGTATGCACCAAAGACAAACTCCTTGTGTCTCCAATCACACTTGGCCAATAAAGAATTCTACTATTCTACTGCAACTATTCTTTATATATTTTAGCCTCTGGGATCCTAATCATCTTCCTTGCTCTTTTCTGCATTCTTTCTAGAGTTTCAAAATGTTTTTTACGTCGTGGCGACCAAAACTGGATGCCATATTCCAAGTGTGGCCTTACCAAAGCATTATAAAGTAGTACTAAGTGGTATTAACCCTCTGTTAATGCAGCCTAGGACTGAGTAGTCCTAGGGCAGATATAATCTATCAATATCACTATGGGGTTGTAATGCATAGTGAACAATCATTAGCTTTCTTGTTTTTTTGATCCAAATTGTCCAGTTCAGCCTGTGTCCAGTTAATAATTCCAGCAGCATATTGTGTCACAGCTATGGCCCAGATATTGATGGCTTTGATGGTATTTCCACCATCCATTTTTGTCTTTAGCACTTTTCTCACTCTTTGGCTATATTTGTCACTAATTACTTTTTTAATTTGTCATGCTTGATATTATCCAACTATAAAATGCTCGGATACTTGTTGGCTTCAGATTGATGGCTCCTAATGGTTTGGCCATTTAGCATTTCAATTGCATTATTGTCTGTGATTTTACTTCAATTTATTTCTACTGTGGCATTTTTCTCTGAGCCATTATTATTATTAGTACAGAACATTTCAATTTTCCTATATTTTCTGCTACAAAATTACAGCAACCTACGCCACAATTCCTTGACAAATGAGGTCATATAAGGGTCTTGGGATATATCTACGAAAGAGGTTTGTAAGTTCTGTGTCTTCAGATTCCTAACTTTTCCTCAAAGCTAGGGTCTTCTGATATACTGTAGAAAACATCTGGAATTGATGTTAAGATGATTATAAAGATGATTGAGGGGCTGGAGCTAAAACATATGAAGAACAGTTGCAGGAATTGGGTATATACAGGGGTGGGCATCAAAAATTTTAGCAAGAGGTCCTCTGCCCGTTTGTGGGGTAGGCGTGGCTGTGGTGGCTGTGGCCCAGTCGGCCTCCTGCACCATGGCCGGGGGGGGGGCATTTTTGCCATCCCCAGGCTCCAGAGGCTTTCCTCAAGCCTCCGGGAGGGCGAAAATGGCCTCCCCAGGCTCCTCTGGAGACTGAAAACAGGCCTGTTTCTGGCCTTCCCGAACTTCTGGTAGACCCGTTTTTCGCCCTCCCAGAGCCTCTGCGCATGCCCTGCACTTACCTGCATCCAAAACGGGCAGCATGGGGACTTCTAGGAGGGGCGGGGTAGGGTGGGGGGGGGGGGCGGGGGGGGGGGGGGCGAGGGGAGTGATTTGGGGGATCTCCAAACTGCACAGAATCTTAGCTAGAGGTTCTCCTGAACCCCCGGCAGCCCATCCCTGGATTTGTCTAGTTTAATGGGAAAAAAAAGACTAGTCTCTAGGGTGATATGATAGCAATGTTTCAATATTTGAGGGGCTGCCACAAAGAAGAGGGAGTCAACCAGTTCTCCAAAGCACCTGAAGGCAGAACAAGAAGCAATGGATGGAAACTAATCAAGGAGAGAAGCAACCTGGAACCAAGGACGGATTTTCTGACAGTTGGAATAATTAATCCAGAAGTTGTGGGTGCTCCAACACTGGAAGTTTTTAAGAAAAGATTGGACAACAATTTGTCTGAAATGGTATAGGGTCTCCTAGTTGAGCAAGGGGTTGGACTAGAAGACCTCAAAGAGGTCCTTTTGAACTCTGTTATTCTGAAGAAGACATCCATTCCAGTCCCCTTCTTACACTTACAGGCCCGTGCAATTAATTTTAGAATTACTAATATTTTGTCATGCTAATTGTTCTTATATTTATAATTGTTTTTATATTTCTGTTCTTATTATTTTGTAAGCCATCCAAAGTCACCTTTTCACAGCAAGATGGGTGATGTATGCCGATAGATAGATAGATAGATAGATAGATAGATAGA